ACATCAACACCTGCAATGCTTAATTTATGAAAGTCCAGCTTGTCAAAGTATACAGCGAGCCCTACTGGGGATGTATGAAAGGCCAGTGGTGGCACCCATCGGGGGGGTGGGGGGGTTGAAACTGCTAAGTGACACAAGTAGCCAACCTTTAGCTCGACAGCTGCTGGCAAACGGGAGAGAAACTCACCTAAACCTTATTTCCAGGATTCTTGTTGGTGGCGTAATCCAGAATGGATCAGAACAATGACACACATAATGCTGTTCTACCTTCTAGTATTTTCTATGTGTTGAACTGAAAAAGAGAGTCTTTTTATAACTACACAGCTCACCTGCTTAGAATACCACATTATGGCTTTAAACCATCTAATACATATATTTGGGTCCGAACACGTTGTGGAGCCTCTAGGATTACAGGGCTTCACTGTAAACTGGTAACAAACCTGCAGAAAATTAGCCTGGCAAGCCAGACTAAATAAATGTATTATTTAGTCTGGCCATGCTCCATTGACGGCTCTCGGTTGTGGGGCGGGTTCTACCGTTGTCTACTGGACAATGAATGTGACATACTCTTGTTTCACTCTGTTGCATCATCCCACCCACCAGGCATATAGAGTGCCTTGATTGGCCCACAAAGCAGATAAAGCTCTGTGATTTGTTCACTAAGCAGATAGAGCACTATGATTGGCCCACCATTATGGACCAATCACAGCTCTTTATGTGTTTGAAACCCCTCTAGAGAGTTGTGATTGGCCAGCCAGAGTCCTGGTAGGAGCTGTGGAGGTTCCATTGGAGCATGCCTAGACCAAACTTTGCAAAGCAAGAATTTGGTCTAGTTCACTAGGCTAGCAGAAAATGGCAGTTTTCCTTCCAGATAGATTCGTGTAATGTTGATCATCAGCGTTCATAACCTGTGTGTGTAATATTCTGCACTCGTCACCCACTGTGTTGTCTCTGCCAGGTCTTCAGGAGCGGGGAAGGTATGGGGATCCGTCTGGACAGCGCTTCAGCCTTCCAGGGTGCTGTCATCTCGCCTCATTATGACTCGCTGCTGGTTAAAGTCATCGCCAGCGGAAAAGACCTGCACACCGCCTCGTCCAAAATGAGCCGGGCCCTGGCTGAGTTCAGAGTGCGGGGGGTCAAGGTAGGATAATTGACTGCGTGGTTTTAATAAGTTTGCTCGAAGCAAGGCTGTGTGTGTGTGTGTGTGTGAGTTATTATCATTGGAGTTATTGAATCCAGGTTATTGAAGGGTTGGATAATCTAGATTTTAAGGTGATGAAGGGCTTTTTTATAGTAAGAATTTATAGATCTGTGTTTTTGGGATGATTTTAAGTTTAGGTTTATTACAATGACATTAACCTCTGAGAGGAGCTTGTTAAATAACACATCATACAGTTTTAGTTTGTGGTGATTAAACTCCTAAAACACACCAGTGTGAAGTGGTCGTCAAGGTTTGGAACGTCTGGTTTATACAATGACTCGACGTAAAGTCGGAGTGGGTCTTTGTGTTAACCGTGCTGAGTGTTGTTCAGCTTGGGCCGCTACCTACCTACAGCTGTTTTATACGTTAACCACAACAGAAGGAGCTCAGACTGAGACGGCTGTCTAAAACACAAGATGTTAGGTTGGAGTGGTTTGTGTTGAGGCTACTGGTGATGCGCCATTGCTTAGGCTCGGCCCGGGTATTTCATTTGGGCTCTTTTTTTATCCTGCCGATGTTCAGTTGGACCACATGCCCCTGTGTTAAGTTATTTTCTAGTGTGTTTAGTTAGTTTGCTGCAGATCAGTGCAGACTTTTCCTGGTCTCCGAGGTTAAGAACAGATGTGACGTTTCTGCTGTTCTGTTTAAATTTAGTAAGTGACCCGGCCTTCCCACTGGAGGCATCATGCATGTTAGGGTTAGGAAACCCATGCATGGTTTCACCTGTAAGCCCCTTTCCCCCCGGCAGCGTTTCAGACGCCCAACAGCGGCAAAAGAGCTTCACACAGCTTGCCCTGCAAGGTCACAAAATCATGGGATAATTGGAAACCACGTGTGATTTCAGCAGTTCACGCGATAACGAGCATGATGGACGATGTTGGGAAAAAGGTCTGGAACTGGAAATCTGCACACAACTTTTATTTTGAAAGTTTCTAAATGCTTTACACTGCTTTCTTGTTTGACTTCCTGATCTGAACTGCTGAGTTTGAGGCGTTCTGGAAGTGCTGCATGTAAAAAAAAATAGACCCAAATATCTCGCATTGCTAATTAGCATTAGCAATTGGAAACACACCCATCCACTTTAACGGCAGCTAATTGCTGCGCGTGCTTTGCGGCTGTTGCGCAGCACTTATGCGTCCAGTGGAAAGGCATGTTAGTTAATTAGTATTCCTCATGGCTGAATTCAGATGGATAAGCCTGCTGCAGATGTAACAATGGTTAAAATGACTATTATAATGTAGGAGCTTATTTCTTAATATTTAAAGGCCTGCTGCCCTACAGCAGCACCATTTTTAAAAAATGAATCATTTTAAAACCCCGAAACAGCCAGCAGTCACTTTTGTAGTCAGATTGGCCTCGAAAGTATTAACATTCTCTAAATAGTTGCTGAGACTGGACTGGATGTAAACCAGCAGCATCCTGTTTTCAGTTAAACTGACATAGATGGGTGCAGTTTAAGCTATTGATCAGAACAGAAGCCCTGGCTGGTGTTCAGATGCTTTCAATCCTCATTGTCTCGTATTGGTTTGACCAAGATGGATGTGAAAGGAAAATAAACAAACAAGGTGTTTGAGCCAAGGGCTGAATGAAAATCTATGGGAAGAAAGGCCTGGACAGCTGTTATTTATTTAGCAACGGTTCGTGTCTGAGCAGCAGTTTGAGCCCATCAGAACCACTGTGTTCACACTTGTGACACATTAAAAGCTATACGTTTCTTACTTGGTTCAAATAACTGTGATTGCTGTTGGACAGTAGTGTAGTCTGTCATAAGAGAGGCATTTCAGAGCTGACACCAACACATTTAGGAGTTTTCTCCTGAGCAGCAGAGCTGGCATCTAAAAGGGTCTTTAGTTTCAGATGTGAGGAGTTCACATCTCAGCTTCTGAAGCTCCTTGGTCCATTCATCACCTTTGTAAAGTTCACAAGGTTAAAAATGGTACAGTGTTAAAATGAATGATTACAAACGCACACTCACATTTCAAATGACAATATTTACTTATTTTTGTCTGTGCTCCATTGGACGTCACCAAAGAAAAATTGGCAGAAAATAAAGTCAAACTTTGCGCGCGCGCGCACACACACGCACGCACGCACGCACGCACGCACACAGGAAATCCCTAGTAATCAATGAGTTAATTGATCACCATCAGTGGGTGTCAGAGCTTTTAGTAACGTTGCTCATCAACATGTTAAAACCCCTAAAACACCTACGTAAGAAATACAACTTCAATGCTTTAAGGATGAAATGAAGCTTGAGCTCCTTGTTGACACGAGTCGAGCTCCGGTTCTTGTCTGTGTGGAATGTGGATTGACATTTTAGCTCTGTTTATCTTCTGTGTAGTCAGTGTCCACGCATGTGCATATCTATCAGCATCACTGTTCGCACACATTCTCAACCTGTGTGTGTGTGTGTGTGTGCTTGCTCATGTGTGTGAAGCTGTAAAATGTCATGCAGTCAGCTGCAGACAGAGCCGGGAAGGGTGATTGACGGCAAAGTGACAGGACATGAGACAGAATGGTAAAGATGGATAGATAGAGGGGTGTGGGGGGAGTTGCCAAAAGGGCTATCAAGACGTAGAGCGTAAGATAAAATGACAAGGACAGTAGGCTGATGCATCGAGCCCAGTGCTCCCATGGATAGCTTCTGACAATAGTATTAGTAAATTTCATTGACAATAACACCATGCCTAAGTGGCTGTTAACTAAATGTGTTTTATTATGCGAGGCTTTAGTCAAAACAGCTAAAAACACAAAAAACACCTTTACACATAAAAACACCTTTACACATTAGAAACACCTTTACACATTAGAAACACCTTTACACATTAGAAACACCTTTACACATTAGAAACACCTTTACACATAAAAACACCTTTACACATAAAACACCTTTACACATAAAAACACCTTTACACATTAGAAACACCTTTACACATTAGAAACACCTTTACACATTAGAAACACCTTTACACATAAAAACACCTTTACACATTAGAAACACCTTTACACATTAGAAACACCTTTACACATAAAAACACCTTTACACATTAGAAACACCTTTACACATAAAAACACCTTTAAACATAAAAACACCTTTACACATAAAAACACCTTTACACATAAAACACCTTTACACATAAAAACACCTTTACACATAAAAACGCCTTTACACATAAAACACCTTTACACATAAAAACACCTTTACACATAAAAACACCTTTACACATAAAACACCTTTACACATAAACACCTTTACACATAAACACCTTTACACATAAACACCTTTACACATAAAACACCTTTACACATAAAAACACCTTTACACATAAAACACCTTTACACATAAAAACACCTTTACACAGAAACACCTTTACACATTAGAAACACCTTTACACAGAAACACCTTTACACATAAAAACACCTTTACACATTAGAAACACCTTTACACATTAGAAATGCCTTTACACATTAGAAACACCTTTACACATTAGAAACACATTTACACATTAGAAACACCTTTACACATTAGAAACACATTTACACATTAGAAACACCTTTACACATTAGAAACACCTTTACACATTAGAAACACCTTTACACATAAAAAACACCTTTACACATAAAAACACCTTTACACCTAAAAAACACCTTTACACATTAGAAACGCCTTTACACATTAGAAACGCCTTTACACATTAAATACCTTTACACGTTAGAAACACCTTTACACGTAAAAAACACCTTTACACATAAAATACTTTTACATGTTAGAAACACCTTTACACATAAAAAACTATACTCATATATAAACACCTACACCCATTTAAAACAACCACCTAATCCCATAAAAAACACCTATACTCATTTAAAAAACATATATGTATGTATAAACACCCATAAACACAAAAACACCTATAAATATGTCTGCTTACATTAAAATCAGGTTTCTGTACAAATTTAACACAGGCAAACGGCGGTCGTCTAACTGCAGAAAAGGACCCAATCTCAGGACCTGATGCACTACCACATTGTGATTGTAGCTGTGACAAGTGATCTCCAATGTCTACTTTCTTCACACATTCTGCTTCCTTATTTTTACCAAATGTAGACCTCTGTTTGTTGTCTACATTTGGGTTTAGACATCCAGAAAACATCTACTTTAGACTGAATTCAACCTGATTTTAACCTAAATACTTGACTGTTAGCTGAAAAAGTTTCTTAGTCATTCAGAGCCTGGTAATCCCTGAAAGTTCAAAGGTGACAGCAATTCTTTTTGGTTTTTGATGACTTTTTATTTTTTAGCCCTTTTAGTATATGTACTAATATTTCAACCCAAAAAAAATACCCTGGGTATTTCTCCAATTCAAGTCTCATGTTATTAAAGATGTGGTTCACTAAATTTTTTTATTATCTGTCTCTGAGCTTAACATGCAAGCTGAACATGACAGTGGTCTCCTACCATATCTCCTGCATTAGCTTCTGATAAAGAATTAACAGGGAAACTCCAGGGTTTGAAAAGCCTGACAGATCTATGTCACACTGTTACTTAACATTATGGACTTATCCATCTTGACTCACAACTGGGAAGTCGGTTGTTGTTTTAACATCCAGGAAACGGCAGAGAATGTCTCTGCTAGTGGAAGCTAACCGTTAGCATTAGCAACTCCACCACACAGTAGAACTCCTTCAGCCTTGTGTTAGTTGTGGAGATAAAACATAAATGTTGCAGAGCAAACTAAGCCAGTGGTAAAGTCGGGTTTTAGCCAATCGGAGGACAGACGTCCAAACATCAGTGAATAAGACTCCAAATCCTGTAGCTAATTCACATAAAAAATTAGGTCACACACAGCTTTGACATTTTGGCATGCTACTTTTGACCACCCAAGCTCTGTTTATTCAACAACAAGAAAAAGGTTGTTTTAGATTCTAGGTCCTCTTTA